AGGAAGGTGGCAACAACAAGTAAGAGGGAGGTGAAAGTGTATAAACTAAGGGGGCCTTGAGATGTGACTAATGAACAGAGGAAATGTCATTTTAGTGCCAGGAATGTCTTTCTTGTTTATTCTGGACCCTATTCGGAAACTGGCATCTTTTGAAATTTGTGTGAAATTGGCAAAATTGCTAAATTCTGACCACTGTACTGGATAGTTGAAATTGGTAAATGGGTGGTTTCTTGCACTCATTCGATAGAAAAAATGGAGTTCTAGCGAAATATTCATGTTTTTTGTCGACTAGTACAGTGGAATTGGCTGAAAATAGGGCTCAAAGTGGGCAAATTCGCCAATGCGTAAACATCGCCGAGACTGCTAACTTCACGAGAGCATAATTCCATAAGTTTTCCATCAAATTTCATACTTTTGGTGTCATTATGATCGAGAAAAGATTCTCTATCTTTTCGTAAGAATTTTTTTTTTTTTTTTTTTAAATTTGGCTGACCCTGAGAACGAGTCTTGGAGAGGCCCTGTCGACCCTCAAAGGATTAAGGGTTGAAGGTGGTTGGCTGTGGTTGAGCCCCAGGCACAAATACCATAGGTGAGGAAAGGATATATTAAGAGTGGTATAGGATAAGGAGAGGGAGAGAGAGAGAGAGAGAGAGAGAGAGGGGGAGAGGGGGGGGGGAAGAAGTGAAAGTAAATATGGTACTTGACACAGATCAGTGAAATTAGTCTTACTAAAAACCATTTTTCCCAAAATGTCTTGTGAGCTGACATTCTAATTCACAGAGTATTCTTAAAGTTACTGCACAAAGTCAAAGATTAGAAAAAAATTAACAATCTTATTTATATTCTTTACTAAGATTGTGAATATAGTAATTAAAAAGTCTTTGTACCCTTAAACTGTATTCATACAAATTTCCAAGGGCACTGAGTGTTCAAATATAAATAGTGATCCGTAAAAATAATTTACTGCATAACTGCATCAAAAGAGGAGTCTTTTGAAGCCAAATGGATTACTAGCTTCCAAAAATGGTGCGTGTAAATTTTTCAAAGTCAAGGTTATTACAAAGCCAAACTTCAAAGACAATCATGAACACTGAGCTACTTAGATGACACAGTGGGATGAGTTTCAGAAGCCTGATATCCTTTGATTCTATATAATATTATCAAAAGAAATAGCTAACGAGTGGGCAAAGACACAAGATGGACAGACAGCAGTGGCAACACAGGTATCCCTATAGCCCAGTGCTTGGTATGTAGTTTTAGAAACTACTGTCAAAAAATACTGTATAAACAGATTGCTTAAAAAAAAAAAAAAAAAGACTGCAGAAAAACTAGCAGTTAATGAAAACTTTATGAAATTATGTTCATGATAAAAAAAATACCAGCACTAGGCAATAACAAGCAAGAATAAATGTGCTAAAATATACTAAAAGCACTTATATAAATGTGAAAGTGAAGATTTATTTGGTAGAGAGAGGTATCTTTTCAAAGCAGTTCCAAGCTTTCAAGACAGACAAATTTGCTTCCAACACATGAAATATTTGAAGCATAAAGTCCCTCTGTCTTAAAGCAAAATCGAAAGAAAAATACAATATTTTACTTACACATCACTAAATCACTCTCCTAAGCACACAATTTTCCTATTCAGTAGAACTGATGGTAACACTTAAAAACTTTTGACGAGTTCAACAATTATATTTTTACGAAAGTGTAAAGCAAATTGAAGAACAAATGTAGCCGTTTTTAGTGGACATAATAAAATGCAGTACATACTACATTTAACAAATATTACACATACCTGTACTTTTGCCAATAAGAGTTGCCCTATCAAATATACTCTCCCCTAACAATACAAAGTGTAAAAGAAAAAAAAATGAGCCAAGTGGGTAACCCCCAAAATACACATACTACCTGTGTAAAAGACATCTGTTTAGGATGCATTCTGCCCTTATACTGTTACTGTTTATTGAAATACTATGTAAGTACTACTGGAAGGCACAACAGTTATGAATCAACCAACACCTGTAACTATACTGAAATTTAAAAAATACAGTACCTTAATGTCAGAAATCCTACTATAATGCACAGTGCTTTATGTCATAAAATACCAAACTAGAATCAATGCTCCATCCCACGATCACTCAGGGCCCACTATTAGCAAGTATTTAAAGTGGACTTAGAGAAGTGAGAAATACATGCCAGACATTTTGCACATCATTAATGGATCCCAAAACATCCATAATACATCATCCTTATATCAGGTATGGCTAGCACACAAATATTACCTAACTCTTTTATGGCACCAGAATAGGCTGGTTAGAAGACAGGCTCCACAGGAAGGGTAAACTTATCAAAGTGGAGAACTTTTCCATGTTAATGACATTTTAGGATGATACCTTGCATATAATATAGAGACTGCATAATTATGATGGAATGATAAATTCAACAAATATATTTATTACCAGACAAGCAACTACATATGTCATATATGTGTTCAATCAAGAATAACCATTACTATATTGACCATCATCATCTGTTACCAATGAGTCAATACTATCCCTTATTAGTGAACCAAGATTACCAATATGTGCCTAACACACTATACCAAAAGGAGAAAATATTCTTTAACCATAAAAATTTCAAGATTCCTTGAAATAATTTGGCTACCGACTCACAAAATAGTAATAACATGACTGTCAACAGCTTGCAGATGGTACAGGTTCAAACCTGTCCCATAACCAGCATGCCAGTATGCTAGGTGCTGTATAATGCTGGCCTAATGAGATTCATCAAACAAGGTATAGTTCAAACCCTAGGAAGGTTAATAAGGACTCAACTACGACCACAGATGCAGTTTTTGCGGATGAATCTCACACTGACGTAGTTGTGGTAAGCTTCAGCTCAAGTCCCTTCATTATTATTATAATCAAAAAAGAAACACTGAACTTCAAGTCCCTTCAAAGCCATTAACAACTGACTTCCAAAATCATAACATGACAGTAAACAACTTGCAGAATAAAATGGGATTCGAACCCATGGCAAGCCAGTTTTAACCTCCTTAGGGTATAGACATACACCTAGTTAGGCAAATCTTATTATGCCAGCATGGTATAGTGGTTAAGTGCACTGGCCTGCAAGTTTTAAAATTTACTCAACATGGGTTCAAACCCCTATCCATTCTATGAATTTGGCTATTATTCATTAATTACTTCTTATTTATTGAATGTAAAATATCCTTCCCATAACGACAGGTTGGATCAAACATATTATAGTTCCCTTTTCAACTCTTGTACATTTTAACCTTTCAGTGAGTCAAAGTTAATAAATACCGTTCATATCATTATTTGCTATGAAAGCATATAATTTCCATCTTTTCCACTCTCATTCTGTACACATGCCTAAAAGAAATCTCATCTTGCTCAGCTTCATATCAACTTATCAGTACTCTTCCAGACTGATGGCTCTCAAAATGCCTCTTAATTTTCCTCCTTGTCTTATCCTCCAAACAACACAAATTTTCCCTCTACCATCCTAACTAAATGTTACTTCTGGTATTTGTACTGTAGCTTAGTCCCAACTTGTCATACTTAATTAAAATTAATAATAAATTGTAACTTTAAAATATAAGCCTTTACTCCAATCAGCAAATAATCTTTACATCCTTCTCCCACAGGATTTTTTTTGTAATTCAGTCAAATGAAGAATCTCCACACAAAGAACTTGAGTAATTATCAATGTTCCAGCACAGTTTAGCCAGAGTCCAAATTAACCCCACCTAAACCTCATCTCACAAACTGCCGAAGCCTTGAAGATATTAAATATATATTAATTGCAAAAGAACACATCCTTAATGCAGTAATTACATCATCATATATATTCTATTTTAAACAATCTTAAAGAAGACTTGAGCAAATTGACCAAAATAATCTCAAAAGCAAAGCAAAGCTTAAGAAATAAGAATAACAAAAATACTACTATACCAATGAAGCATAAAATGTATACAAAAAACTTACCCACAACATTTTCAGCTACCAATGGTTACGTAACCAGAATGGTAGTTAAAAAGAACAATACTATATTAAATTTTAGGATAAAGTTAACAAGTAGAATAAACGATAACTAAAGACACGCAATAATTTCTAAGTACCAAGAAGTCGTTCCATGCAGATCTTCATTTGAGTCCACATGGTGCTACATTATAACAACCTTTATTGGGCATTAGCAATTTCTCTTGCAGGTAGCCTAGTACAGGTACACCAAAAGTCCAAATTTGTATGTCATAAAATACAACTGAATTCAACACGAAAGAAAGAAGTAAATCATGTAAGTTATATAATAAATGTGCACAGCTATCTGGAATTATGGAAATCCAATAGGTTACTGACACAGGAATAACACAGATGCTTATTTCACTTTAAAATTATTGTTAATGCAAAACAGAATGGATGTAAAATTCTCTAGCAAGTGAAAATTTCACCACATCTAGTGGTAAAGTGTACGCATGAGTTGAGAATACAATGTAATGATCTCTGAAATAAGATGCAATTGGTCCAGTCTGCATGAATGGAAATAAAAGAGTAAAAACAAATTACAAAAGGTAGCAATTTTTAAATACCTTTACAAATATTAGAGTGCAATGCCCTATTAATTTTAAAATAATTTACAAAATTAATATCAGTAACTGATAGAGTCATTAAATACAATGAATGAAGGCTATGAATGTTTAAGTTTCCATTTTTGCATGACATGAATTAATCCAGCATGTTAATCAAATTCCTTTTACACCTAGCAAAACACATTTATAAGTGTATAAGCAAGTCTTAATATTTTTCAAATCCCATGTTAAATTGTTAAAAAAACACCACAACCTTGTAAGAGAAATGAAAAAAAATTCTGAAGAACAGATATAAGTAAAGAATTATGAAAAACAACACTTGTACACACTTATGACAACAACATATATTGTATAATCAGTGGGGCACAGGAAATAAATGAAAAAAATATAGTGATTCTCTTTTATGCAAATTTGCCATTATGTGATGTCCCTTTTTACTGCTAGTTCTGTATACAGTATAGTATTTCAACAAAGTTAAACAAAGAGACCTCTTCATAACAAGAGTTAATAATCTTTATCATGATGCTTAAACATATTTACAAATGTATTCAACAATAATGGTACAAAATTTATAAAAACTTAGCCAGAGGAAGATAATATATAAGAAAAGATATTATGGCACTGATAACTATAGTTAACAGACTACAAACTCTGAGGAGGATAGTTCAGTACAACTAGGAAGCTCTATAAAAGCAACAAGAAATTGAAGGATGGTTCACTAAAGGTAATGAGAGCACAACAGAACACTGAAGCTACAAATAGTATTTTAAGGTTGCTCAAATCAAAATGGACTATCAAGAAAATACTAAGGTCATGACTGAATGGGCCATGTAATTATATTAAACACAGGTTATAACACTGCCATGAAGGATATAATAAAACTTTAGCTCAAAAGATCAGAGAGGTTATTGGAAAACAAAAATAACGAGACTGCAATATTACAAAAAGCCATAATATTAAATAAATCTTTTCCAAAATGCAAGACTATATGGTGTGAACTTATAAAAACTTTCCAAGCAGGAAAAAAAAGTATGAACAATTTAACCCAAACAAAAGAAAAAGAAATTAAGATTTAAAATGTACAACTATACTACAGTATTTAATCAATCAGATCCAGTATCATAACCTTCTTATAATGTAAAGCATACATGCACGAAAATTATCTTATGAAACAGAGGGTTACGTAAAGTGGTGATCATATGGGAAAAAAGGATAACGTTTTTGAGACCTCCAAACCAAAATGCCAAACAACTTTTACCAAATATCCTAATACGTTAAAAATATTATTCTAATTGATGTTGCTTGTTGACATGGAAGCGTGTGAAGAGGGATGATGTGGCCCTACTGGGCTGAGTTTGATGTAGTGAGGCTTATCAACTAAACATCAGGTAAATATGTAAAACTATATAAATGAGAGTCACATTTCCTTATCAAATTGTAGCAAACCCAAAGAAACTCATTGCACCTGTACCAAACAAACATACATCAAAGATAAATACTGTACATTTGAAGAAACAAAAGCAAAGAAAAATATTAATACTGCACAAAAAAGTTAGAGGAAGCATTGGCTGGGCCTTTCAACATTTCAGTATTGGTAAAAAGTCATATTTCATTACCAAATTAAACCAAACATACAGGAATTCACCAAACCTATACCAAATGTAATATTCAAGACAATGCAGTGGAATTAAAATAAAATGGCATGGGAAGTTGTTATTGCTTTTCAAGAACTACAATGGCTTGTTCCACACGAGCCCTGTTCTCATTGCTGTGGTACATCGTATTCTGGAGAAATGCCGACTTAATATATCATAAGCCAAATACATAAAACTCCAACACAAGTCAAGATCACACTTCTGTTACACAACTTAATCGTTTAATGAATTTTTTACATTTTATTATTTTTCACCAACAAGTTCAACAATTGTAGAACAGTTGGAGTAGATACATAACTGTTAAAGGCATGGGACAGTATAATTACAGTGTACAGTAATTATGATAATGCACCATTCCTGGTTAGTAACCTTCTGAGTTAATTATCCAAACAAAGTCGTTGTCTCCTCTAATGAACTTGTGTATTTCTGATATTAATGCAGAATATATTCTCTTCAGATTTCATTCATGACTTGCATAAATTTTGGAAAACATTTGTTGGGTAAAAACAATGCTATCTAGAAAAAGACTGAGAAAATAAACACAGGTTGCTGCCCAAATTTCACATATGATATATATATTTTTTAAAGACTTCAGAGCTTAATATCAATGAAGGAATGTTCAGTAAAAATTATGTAGTCACATTATGAGAGGGTTTACTGTATTTGCTAACATATCTAAAAAGATGATGCATACATGCACAGAGCAATAATAATTTCATACTGCAAAATGTGGTATGGACACATGCATACAAATCACCAATAAGTGACTCATCTCACATAAATATATACAAAAATAAACTTACCTAAATATAAAAATAAACAGTATAAGGAGAGAGAAGAAGATAGCGACGTTATCCATGGTGCGGAGCATGACGAACAGCTGCCGGCGAAGTTGGGGCATAAACCGGACCAACTTGAGAATGCGCAGAAGACGGAAGGTTCGAAGCACTGATAGTCCTGACCCCTGCCCTGCTTGCTGGTCTGATACTGCTGATGATGACGAATAGCTTTCATACATCTCCACAATGCTGTGTGGAAGGTAGCACAATTAGGTAATGAGACAAGTAGTATGCTGGTGTGGATTTAGGACTGCAGGCTGGTTAATAATGTTTGATGAAAAAGAATACGTAAAAGTACTTTCTAAGAAAGCCATCATGATGTAAGGATGTAGATACAGCAAATTAAAGTCAAGTCTCAGTGTATAGTGTAAAATTACCTACAACCATTCATTTATATGACCCCTTCTCCCACATTACTGATGTAGGTTGATTACTCAAAAAAGTCAGCAGGTTAAATACTCCTTCAAACACAAGAAAGAGCCACACTGAGCCATATCATTACTGTAATTTTAGCTGACCTTATTTTATTGAAACAAGACTTCTGGTCAGACCACCAATTTTATCTAACCTTCAGGGCTTTCCCTAGTCAGACAATTCATTTTATCAAACTTCACGAAGATAGCCAACCAACTGCCTGGTTGGATACTTTATTGTGTCTAATCTCAGGACTTACTTGTTGGAAATGGTAAATAGAACTAGTTAGAGTAACAATAGTCAAATAATAGATGTATGTCCATTTATAATTACAATACCTATTTTAACTTGCTGTGGCTAAACTCTAGCTTCAAACTCACTTCTTACTTTCAACTGACCGGTGTGTTTTTTCTGTTGTTGTTCAGTTTCTTCCATTATTTTACCTTTTCTTTTACTTCAGAGAAACATTTACTGGTGTGTTTGTATGCTGATGAGTGCAAAGTTTCCATCTATTACCTCCTGCAGCACTTACACCAGTTTGAAGGCACACCCTTTAAATTTTCTCAAGATATGGTCTGCTCTTGCTTAGATAAGGGTTTCAGCCACGTATGTGCTACATTTTCAGATTTCAGAAGGTTAACATTATGTTTGTCAGCCTAGCATATGCCACTAATAATATTTTGCTTATGTAAACTTCAGGGTGATGTCCAATTTAAACATTCTGCACTGGCTAGGGTTAAACTCTAGCAGTCACTAGGCTATCCAAGATGGCTGTGTGTGGGTGGCTGTGTGTGGAATATGTTGTCCAAGAGAACAAGGCCTTGGATATATCATTAGATAGTGGCATAAGAATGCATACATGGAATGTAGACAAAAAATGTTATTTTGAAAAAAAGGATGAGATTTGAAGTGTTTGAGTTGTTGGGGTTTTAAGACCACTGAGCTCAAGTCATGTGGTCATACCTTCATGTATGTAGGAAGGAAATACTCTATAATCTGAGCAGTAAAAGAAAATGGGGGAGACATCCCAAAACATGAAGGTGGAACCCCCTTTTCTAAAGTCCGGTAGAACAAGACACCTACAACCTACCTGAGTTAGTAACAGATCTTTTCCCACACAGCTGCAAGAATGTCTGCAGCATAGAAAATACAAGAGCTGATGCATGGTGTCCTGGTTCTTTACATGTCCAGCAAGCACGAAAGGATATGGACAAACATCCTAAAAAAATGACTGGGGAAATTTATTACTGATGCTCAGAGCAGAGCCAAAGTTAATGTTCATGTGACATGGATGTCCTTTGAATCTGTTTATTACACTTGATTAAGATTGTAGGTAAGAATTAGAGCAAGTTCATTATATTTCCTGATGTAAATGTTCATTTTTCCTTTATACTGTACAGTCGTATCCCGAGTTTCGTACAGCTCCCAACTCGAACAAGTGTATTATTGTAAGTGCTATTGAAAGTGTATTTTTGGGGGTCTGCAATGGACTAATCTAATTTACATTATTCCTTATGGGAACAAATTCGTTCATTAATGGCACTCAAACAGCCTTCTGGAACGAATTATGGCCAAAACTAGGGGTACCACTGTATATTAATTTTATGAATACAACAGTATCTCATCAATCATATCCGAGTGCCTTTGCAAAGACAGTGATTATGTATGAGTGATGGCGAGTGCTGAATGATGATGAAAGCTTTTTCTTTCTCTTTGGGTTTTTCTTTTTGGGTCACCCTGCCTCGGTGAGAAATGGCCAACGTGTTAAAAAAAAAACTGAACAGTACTGGCAACTGTACAGCACAGTATTACTATTGAGAGGTTATGAAATGGAGGTGTAAATATAAGATATATACAGTAGGAATAAAAAAGTTAATAGAGGAATGATATCAAATTACGACACACAAATTATTAATTATCCAGCAATCAGTTATGGGGCTTCGAACATATTCTGGCAGTCCTATTCAATTCAGGATCTAAACACATATTTAAAAAAGAAATATGTAAAACAAAGTGACCATAAAAAATTTGATGATCTGGTATTATTGAAAACCCAAAGGGGCCCAATAACCAACGATCTACCGTACATATAATTCTTATCTACTGTAGCACTATAACTTGTATTTACAAATGCAAAATATTTTGTTTTTATCCCCACCTCAATATGTTTGTTTTACAACTCAATTTGTTTTCTCCATTAGTTTCCATTTATCTGCAATTGCTTATGGGGGAGACATCCAAAAAAATACATTACTGACTACAGTATAAGAATACAAAGTGATCTACTTTTTTTTTTTCAACAAACTAACTTTATCCCACCGAGGCAGGGTGACCTATAAAGAAAAACTAATGTTTTTCTTTTTAAATTTATAAATTTATACAGAAGGGGTTACTAGCCTTTTGTTCCCAGCATGTTAGTCACTTCTTATGACACGCATGGCTTACGGAGGAAGAATTCTTTTCCACCTCCCATGGAGACAAGAATAAATAAAGAACAAGAACTTAATTTAGTTAGTTAGTAAATATATTTTTACTAATCTGTGCTCACATTACCTGAGGATGACAATGATACCATCAAAAACATTGAAACCATTGCTTATGTAACCGAAGGGTCCCTCGGCAATAATCTTGAGCAACATTTCTATGGCAAATACAGCTGAGAAGACAAAGTTGCTCAGCTCCACAATAATTGTCAACATCATCGGCTGAGGATAGAAAAACATAAGATGGAGAGTAGCGTAGTGATTATGTAACAACATACATGTACAAGGTAATGTTGACAGAAAGGCCAAACTCAACATTTTAACAATGGGATAAAATGCCTTAAAATAACAGTATTTATACATGGATATGAAAAAAACTGAGAGAAACATCTCTAGTCTTATTATTTATAAAGTAAAATTTAGTTTCCAGGACATAACATATTATATGTTGTGATACTGATATCATATTGTAATGTAGTAAATGAAAAAGTCCACAGTTGTACACTACATTTTATGCAGATTTAAGAATAAACATGCATTAAACTACCATGGCTATAGTGTAGGTCTTCTTCCTTCAACAAACTGGCTGTATCCCACTGAGGCAGGGTGGCCCAAAAAGAAAAACAAAAGTTTCTCTTTTTAACTCTAGTAATGTATACAGGAGAAGGGGTTACTAGCCCCTTGCTCCCAGCATGTTAGTCACTTCTTATGACACGCATGGCTTACAGAGGAAGAATTCTGTTTCGCTTCCCCATGGAGATAAGAAAAAATAAACAAGAACTAGTAAGTAAATAGAAGAAAACCCAGAGGGGCGTGTATATATATGCTTGTACATGCATGTGTAGTGTGACCTATGTAAGTGTAAGTAGAAGTAGCAAGACATACCTGAAATCTGGCATGGCTATGAGACAGAAAAAAGACACCAGCAATCCTACCATCATTTAAAACAATTACAGGTTTCCGTATTACATTCGCTTGGCAGGATGGTAGTACCTCCCTGGGTGGTTGCTGTCTACCAACCTACTACCTAAGTTATAGTGGAGGTATATTACATAAAAGTTCATGAAAATTTAATGAAGTTCATGGAATTAAGAGAATTAAGTATACAATGATTATTCTAAATAATAATTCCTGAATGCTACGACAGATATGGAGATAAGAAATTTAAGTATGGTACCCTGGAAATACAAATAAGAACTCTTGTAGCAACTCTTTAATTGCTTCAATAGATACAGATATAAGAAGGTACAGTAGCCCCCCCCAATTCAAGGGGGTTACATTCCAAGACCATCCGCCAATTTGGAAACACTGCGAATTCTGGATGTGGTTAAAAAATGGCTATAAATGCCTACTTTTATAGATTAAACCCTAAATATGCCACCCAAACACTAATTTAATTTCAAACTCAGCTTCATACATCACCCTAAAAAAAAAAAATGTAAAGATAAACCAGTGTACAGTACTGTACCGCTATGTCTCTCGCAGTGCTAGAACGTAAAATACAACACTGTACCGATGTTACTCCCATATATACTGTAATTCATGCAAGTCCATTTTGTTTGGTATACTGTAATTCATGCAACCCCATTTTCTTTGGTATGCGTATGGTAAATATATGGTATTATATTTTATATGGATATTTTGCTGAAGGGGTAGCAATAATGTTGAAGGACCAGTTATGGAAGGAGAAGAGGGAATATAACTGTGTAAATTCAAGGATTATGTGAATTAAAATAAGCGTCGGATGTGAAAAGTGGGTCATAATAAGTGTGTATGCACCTGGAGAAGAGAGGAGTGTAGAAGAGAGAGAGAGATATTTTGGGAGATGTTAAGCGAATGTATAGGAACCTTTGAACCAAGTGAGAGTAATTGTGGTAGGGGACCTAAATGCTAAAGTAGGAGAAACATTTAGAGAGGGTGTGGTAGGTAAGTTTGGGGTGCCAGGTGTAAATGATAATGGGGGCCCTTCGATTCAACTTTGTATAGAAAGGGGTTTAGTTATAAGTAATACGTATTTTAAGAAAAGGAGGATAAATAATAATACAAGATACGATGTAGGGCGTAATGACAGTAGTTTGTTGGACTATGTATCGGTACATAAAACACTTTTGGGTAGACTTCAGGATGTACATGTTTACAGAGGGGCCAAAGATATATCAGATCACTTTTTAGTTGTAGCTACAGTGAGAATAAAAGGTAGATGGGATACAAGGAAAATAGAAGCAGCAAGTAAGAGAAATGAAGGTGTATAAACTAAAAGAGGAGGCAGTTAGGGTATGATATAAACAACTACTGGAGGATAGATGGGCTAGTGAGAATATAGGCAATGGGGTTGAAGATGAATGGGGTAGGTTTAAGAATGTAGTGTTAGAGTGTTCAGCAGAAGTTTGTGGTTACAGGAAAGTGGGAGCGGGAGGGAAGAAGAGCGATTGGAAAAATGATGATGTAAAGAGAGTAGTAAGGGACAAAAAGTTAGCATATGAGAGTTTTTTACAAAGTAGAAGTGATATTATTATTATAATCAAGGGGGAAGCGCTAAACCCAGAGGATTATACAGCGCCTGGGGGGGGGGATGTGGAAGGAATTCAGGCTTAATTCGGGAAACTGGAGCACAGATCCAATTCCCTAAATCAAGAGCCCCTCACCAACATCAAGGAACCTTCCTTGAGGGGAGTAGAAGTGATAAAAGGAAGGAAGAGTATATGGAGAGAAAAAGAGTGATTAAGAGAGTGGTGAAGCAATGTAAAAAGAGAGCAAATGAGAGAGTGGGCGAGATGTTATCAACAAATTTTGTTGAAAATAAGAAAAAGTTTTGGAGTGAGATTAATAAGTTGAGGAAGCCTAGGGAACAAATGGATTTGACAGTTAAAAATATGAGAGTAGAGTTATTAAATGAAGAGTTAGAGGTATTGGGAAGATGGAGGGAATATTTTGAGGAATTGGTAAATGTTGATGAAGATAGGGAAGCTGTGATTTTGTGTATAGGGCAAGGAGAAATAACATCTTGTAGGAGTGAGGAAGAGCCAGTTGTGATTGTGGGGGAAGTTCGTGAAGCAGTGGGCAGAATGAAAAGGGGTAAGGCAGCTGGGATTGATGGGATAAAGATAGAAAATGTTAAAAGCAGGAGGGGATATAGTTTTGGAGTGGTTGGTGCTATTATTTAATAAATGTATGAAAGAGGGTAAGGTACCTAAGGATTGGCAGAGAGCATGCATAGTTCCTTTGTATAAAGGCAAAGGAGATAAAAGTGTGTGCAAAAATTATAGGGGAATAAGTCTGTTGAGTATACCTGGTAAAGTGTATGGTAGAGTTATTACTGAAAGAATTAAGAGTAAGACAGAGTAGGATAGCAGATGAACAAGGAGGCTTTAGGAAAGGTAGGGGGTGTGTTGACCAAGTGTTTACAGTGAAACATATAGGTGAACAGTATTTAGATTTTTTTTTATTTTATTTATTTTATAATTTGTAGCATACATACAGAGGTACAAAAAAATACAGGTAAAAGTAGCATGCCAAAGCCACTTACATGCATAGCATTACGGGAAGACTTAAGATTAACTAAGCAAAGATGTAATCAGTGATAAAACATTATTGTAAACAGATAACAATAAAGCACAAATGAGTATTACAAAGACAGGTCATATGGTTGCATGCATTGTTGTATATTCAGTAGAATGGAGTATTCTGTTAGGTAGTGTATTTAAAAAATAACAAAGTTAGATTGGGTCTTAGGTTTAACATTTATGTGATATAATTGTGAGAAACATTTAGGATATACAATTTATAAGGTTCAGTTATTCAGTATTTATTTGGTTTTGGGTGAATAAGTGATCTTTGAGAAGAGACTTGAATTTATAAACAGGTAGTGTTTCTTTTATATTTACAGGTAATGAGTTCCAGATTTTAGGGCCTTTTATGTGCATTGAGTTTTTGCATAGCGTAAGATGGACACGAGGAACATCAAAGAGTGATCTGTGTCTTGTGTTATGGTCATGAGTTCTGCTGAGGATGGCAAGCAGATGTTTGAGGGGAGGGTTAATATCAGAGTTAAGTGTTCTATGTATGTAATAGGTGCAGTAATAAGTATGGATGTTTTGTATGGTGAGTAGGTTTAGTGTTCTGAATATTGGTGGAGTGTGCTGCCTGTAGTGGGAATTTGTTATCATTTTGACTGCAGCCTTTTGTTGGATATTTACTTTATTTTTTACTTAATTCTAACTATAGATTCACTACAAATCTTATGATTACAAGCATTGATCCTGATGCCAACCTCTTATTTAATGACTTAAATGATTCAAACAGTTACTGTAATTATTACACAGCAGAACAATCAAAGGCACTTCTCAGAGCCAACAACAATATCAGATCTTTAACTACAATATCAGATCTTTAAGCAAGCATTATGATGACCTCCTAGCATTACTAAATTCCTTGCATGCCAATATGTCCATCATTACACTAACTGAAACCTGGCTAAAGCCTGATACTACAGATGTCTATGCCATTCCTGGTTACACAGCCATACACAACTGTAGGCCAGACCAACAAGGGGGTGGCACTGCTATATACTACTCAGACCAACTAGAATGTATCACTAATACTTGCAAAAGGGATGAACATGGGGAATATATAATAGCTAAATTCAAATCCAAATACCTACAAAAACCTCTCACAGTGATAAACATCTACAGAGTTCCACAGTCAAACATTAACCAATTTAGTCAAAACCTAGGAAGTATGATAACTGATGCACGCATGAACAAAGATCACTTACTACTCTCAGGTGACTTCAATATAAATCTCCTGCAAGACCAGGACCCACACGTTACTGAATTCACAAACACAATGAGTAACTGTATGTTGCTACCAACAGTAACAAAACCTACAAGAGTTACAGAGACTAGTGTTTCCCTACTTGACCACATCTGGACCAACACCATATCCCCTTTAAAATCAGGCATAATTACAGATAATACCACAGACCACTACCCTACTTTCCTCATAACAACTCTTGGATAAAATACCCCAAGACACTACTAAAGTCACCTTCAGACTTCACAATGAGGCAGCCATTACTAACTTCACAACAGCAGTAACAAACATTGACTGGCACACTGAGCTAGAAATCTATACAGATACTGACGAATGTTTTAATAATTTTCTAAAAAAGACCCAATACCTTTATAACAAGCACTGCCCTAAAAAAACTAAACAGATGACAG